CCTCGCTCAAAATCTCGCTTAGAACCTTGAAAAATTGTTTTCTGTAGGTTTGACGACGTGCTCTTTCATTTGGACAGGTCAAGGAAATCTTTTAGTGAAAATGGCTTTTCGATTGAAAAACCAAGATCTTTAAAAAACGGGTCTTTAAATCGAAAGCGGGCAAAAACCATTGTGATATTCGGAATCAGCACGTTCGATTACCTATTTTCAACTGAGTCACGGGTCTATTTTTGAAAGGAGTATGACTGTTGTTCAGAATCATAAGATTTTTAAAACGTAGAAGCTTACATAAATTTTATGTACACAATAAGATTATTTCCAAGTGAGACAGTCAACTAGCAGATTGTTTATTTATCTTATACGTCATTGAATAAATAACTGGTTTTTCACAGTAAATCTCAACATAATCTTTGGTATTACGTTCATCATATGTGTTCGATGTACTAACCAACGTAGAAAAATTCAATTCGGTATCATTATTTAAATTCCATTTTAAACCATCTGTTCGCACCCTTGTCGGATAAGCGAAGGGTAATAATGAACATTCACGTCCTCGTAATTGCGATTTAGTATGTATACGATTATGTCCAGATTTCAGCAGAAATGTGATATCTTGGTCGGTAACCAAGTACAATCGAAGCTTTGGATTTAAATTCAAACTGTTTATTAGATACAATGTGTGAATATTGCCCATTGCATGATCAAAACGGCCACACAATGATGAAAAGACATAGATAACATCTAACCGTTCGCATTGTTGTAACATAGTACGTACACATTTTGTGAAATCCGTCTCACTTTGATTTATTGTTTCGATAAATTTAACATTCCCCGAACTATAATATATTTTTGTCTTTTCACTTATAGAATCCATATCTCCACTAATATAATCGGGCATAAATGGATCTGTCAACAGTTGATGATCAAAATATTTTTCAGAAAATTCTCTTAACACATTTGAGCCACCATCGGCACATCCACGAATAATGGCTCTAGACCATATCGATTTCGTTAAAAATGTTTTTAAACTATCATGAGAATAATTTAAAATAATAATACCATATGGCAACACTGATAAGCAATTATCTTTCTCACCTATTGAATACGGATAATAATCATAGATTATATCATCGCTGTCGTTGGAGTATTTAGTCATCGATGCAACGAATCTTGAAAACAAACAAAAATGGCGCATTCAGATTTTTCATTTTATGAACTCTTGTATAACTGTGAGACTACTTCATCAGTAGAGATGAGACGTTACTAGTTACTTCGAACATCTTCACTCATAACAGTTTCGTATGTCTAATGTATCTAATATATAGATTTTTTCGTAACTCGTCTATCCATCACTAATGCCGATAAGTCTGTATGGTTTGTACTGTCTCATTTCTGTGTATCTACGGTAGGAAAGTGGACCACATTCTTCAAAGGATAACTTATAAATATCTTCAGTTTTAGAAAATTACCTGCTAAAAAACGACAGGTCGTGACTTATAAAGTTTCTAAAACACGTCTTTTTTAATTCAATTTATCATAAAAATAACCTCTAAAATTACTTTTCTTTAAGATTTATATATCAGATAGACGTTCGTGACACACCTCTTGTTTATCGCAGCTTAAACATGTAAGCTTATTGTTTGTCAAAAATATTTGTGTACTACTTACTGATTAAATTATTTGATAAGCATAAACTTGTGGAGGAATAGATATTTATATATATATATATATCATGTCATGATTAAAAAGAAAAATATAATTTTTTTCTATTCTTATAAATAAGAAAAAACAAAAATTTTCTGTAAATAAAAAAGATTTCTTTTCGCTACATGTGAGTATCTTCTGTTCGAGACAACAACTAAAAATATCATTTTCTGTTCGCATCGTAAAGAGAGAGATGAGCTATTTACACGACTATAGCGTGTTATATATAGATGCGTGAAGCAAACCGCAGAAAAAGACGTCAACACGTACACAAATTTAGACCATAAACATATTCAGAACAATTAAAACCAGTCAACGCTTAGTGTGATTGACGACTTTTTCACTTTGTCCTATAACATTACTAATTTTGAATGTATAATCATTCATCTTTGTTGATTGACGGGTGTTCGAAAGTCAAAAAGAGATTAACTAAATAAGATTAAGTTATGGTCGATGCGATCACTTTTTTTAAGCCGCTTCTATTATTTTGCTTTCATACCTTTCAAGGTTTTAAGCCAAATTGTAGGCTTCTGAAAAATCCAGTTCCCGGTCGAAAAAGTTTAGAAACATCTGATTTTGTTCATTTTTTGATGGACTTTGAAATGAGACGTCATTCGAATAGAACGGATAAAATTTGACGAAGTTATAGGCAAAAAATCAAGGAGGACGCTGTTTTGAAAATCTTCGATACACCTAATTTTATAAATTCTATAACTCGGCGAAATCAAGTCCAAACGACCTTAAAATTTTTTCAATAACTTTTGAACAGAAAGAACTATAGAGAGCTTCGGTTTTTCGTATTAGATAGAGGACAGTTTGGGACATGATTCTATGAAAAAATCACATTTTCGCGAAAGGTCTACCATGGTGTGCCTTTTGAGTGAAAATTTGGCAGATCCCGTACACAAAAAACAAGGTGGATTTTGACTTTTAAGAG